CCACCTCCCTACTGCAAGAGACTCATCCTCTGCTCCCTTCTGGCCATCCTTCGCTAGTCTCTTTGTTTGTACTGTGCCTCACTCCAACGACAGACCACACGGTGTGTCGCTGTGTGTGTGGTTTATCTCACTCGGTGTATTTTCCAGATGCACGCACTTTCCCACAAGTGTCTCAACTCTGTCATTTTTTATAGCAGGTAATATTCTGTTCTGTGTAGATACCACATTTTCCTTACCCAGTCATCTGTGACGTTAAACGGCCTGTTCCAGGACTGAGCCATTATGAATCGTGCTGCTGTAAACATCAGCAAGCATGTATCATGTAGTAGATGAGGAAGCCCTTTGGGGAAGACCATGGGGTCGCTGGTCATATGGAATGTCTCACTTCTGTTCTTTGAGAAATCGCCACACTGGTTTCCATAATCTTGGTACTAGTTTGCATTTCCTCCAGCAGTGAGAGAGGTTCCTTTTTACCCCAGCCTCACCAGCATTTGCTATTTCTTTTATTTCTTTTTTCCCGGTACCGGGGATCGAACTCACAACAGCCTGCTTGCAAGGCAGGTGCTTACGCCACTGAGCTAAATCCCCAGCCCCTATTTCTTTTATTTCTTGGTGAGGCATTCTTTCTGGAGTAAGATGGGATCTTAGCATTTTCATTTGCATTTCCCTATGCCCAACAGAGATGTTGAACATTTTTTTTTCTCATAAATGTTGGCCATTTGTATTTTTCTCTGTGAAATGTGTGTTTGCTTCTTTCCATTTCTTGACTGGCTCTGTACTTTTGGGTCCTTTAATTGTTTTGAGTTCTTTGTGTATTTAAGGTACCAGTCTTCTGTCTGAGGAGCAGCTGGCAGTTTTTCTCCTCTTCTGTAGGCTCTCTCTTCACTCTGCTGATTGATTCTTTGTTATAAAGAGGTTTTCAGTCTGGTATAGTCCCATTTGCTGATTCTTTCTGTTATTTCTTGTTCAACTGAGGTTCTGTTTTAAAAATTCTTTCCTGCACCTATGTCTTCAAGTGTTTAACCTATTTTATCGTCCAGTGGGTTTAATGCTTTTGCATCAATGTTTAGATCTTTGATCCATTTTGATTTTGATTTAGTAAGTGGTGACAGATATGGATCCAGCTTAAATCTTCTGCACACAGATAACCGGTTTCTTATCACTACTGTTGAATAGGCTGTCCTTCCTCCCACACGCTTTTGGCCCCATTGTTGAAGACTGAATAGCTGAGTGTGTTGGGGGCCGTTTCTGTGCCTCTGTTCTGCTCCTCTGACCAGGTGTCTGTGTTCGTCCCAGTGCCTCACTGTTTTTGCAGTGCAGTATAGCGTGAAGTCAGGCGTTGTAGGCCTCATGCTTTGTTCTTCTCGTCCAAAATTACTTTTGCTATCCTGGGTCTCTTCTGGTTCCAAATGAACTTTAGGAATTTTTTCTAGATTTGTAAAGTATGTTTTTGGGGTTTTGATGTGGACTGCATTGGATCACTGTAACACCTTTGGGAGCATGGCCACTTTGACAATATTGATTCTGCCTGTACAGGAGCAGTGGACATCTGATGTCCTCTTTAATCTCCTTTTTCAGAGTACTGTGGTTTGCTTTGTCGAAATCTTTCACTCTTTTGGTTAGGTTGATTCCTAGGTATCGCAATTTTCCTGAAACTGTTGGGACACACTCGTAGAATAGAAAACTTACAGGGATTTCACAGTAAATTCTGGAGTTCGGTTAGAGGCCGGTGACCATGCTCCTGCTGCTTGTCACGGAGCTGCCCTGCTAACTTCAGTGAGCCCTGACTGTCTGCATCCCAGTAATGCAGAGTCCGCTTGGCTGTGTTCCTGCTTCAAGGACTTCAGGCCCAGGACAGACGGGCCCAAGGCCAGGTTGAAGTCTGTTTTTCCCACAAGAAACCCCCTCCCCACTTTCCCAGAATGTCCCTGTATTACGATAAACAATTCCTTTTAGGTAAATGTATTTAGAATGACCTGACTGACAATGTACGTAACCAGTCATGTGGCAACCTGATATCAGCTTTTGTACTTTCTGCTTACAGAAAGAAGCCACTGCCAAGGATTTGGACTTGGTGCCAGGAGCCGCCAGCGTAGTAACAGTTGCCTCCTGAGCCCTTGGTGCAGTCTTCCATTGGATCAGACTTCCCATAACCACACTTGTGAATGCTGTGGAAATTCCCTTACTACATTCATTGTTGTTCACTGTCAGCATACACGAATGCTAATGGGTTTTGTGCATCAATCTTGTTTCCTGCTGCATTGCTGAAATTTGTTATTTATTTGTAAGATTTCTGGTGAAGTTCTTTAGGTTTTCTCTGTGGAATAGTGCAACACGTCGTGTGTAAATAATGATAATTTGAACTCTTCCTGTCCTGTATGTGACCCTTTTGTTACTTTCTCTTGCCTAATTGTTCTAGCTAATGTTTCAAGAACTATGTTTAAGGACAGGTGATAGTGGACGGCCTTGTTTTGTTCCTGACTTCAGGGAAAGGCATTTGGGGTTTCCCCCATATGTATGACACTAGCTATCAGTTTGCCATATACCGTTTTGTCACTTTCAGGTGTGGCCCTGCCACACCTGTTATCTTCAGGTGTTTTGTCATGAATGGGGGCTTGGACTTTGTCAAAACCTTTTTCTGCACCTGTAGATAAGATCATAGCTTTTTGGCCTTGCTTCTGTTTATGTGATGTTACATTTGTTGATTTATGTATTGAACCATCCTTGCATCTGTGAAATGAAATCTACTTGATCATTATGTATTTTATTTTCTTTTTTATTTTTTATTTTTTAATGTATTATTTTTTGATAATGCCCTGAATTCTATTTGCTAATTCTTGTTGAGAATTTTTGCATCTATGTTCATTAAGGAGATTGGCCTATAGTTTTATTTTTTAGTTGGGCCTTTGTCTGGTTTGAGGATCAGGGTGATAATGTCTTCTATAAATAAGTTGGGGAGCACTGTATCCCTTTCAATTTCTTTGACAACCTTGAGTACTGTTGATAGAGCATCCTTAAAGGCTTTATAGAATTTAGCCATTTATCCATCAGGTCCTGGGCTTTTTTAGTTGCTAGATTCTTTATTATTGAGTCAATTTCATTGCTTGTTATTGGGCTGTTATGCATATTTATTTTGTGGGTTAGTTTTGGTAGTTTTTACGTGTCTAGGAATCTTTCCATTTCTTCAAAATTTGTTGGAACATAATTCGTCAAGGTAGTTACTAAGCAGCTCCTGTATTTCCAGTGTCTGTTGTGACTTCACATTTTTCACACCTAATTGCACTGCTGTGAGTCTTCTTTTTTCACTCTCTCTTGCTAAGTCTGGCTAAGGGCTTATCTATTTTTTCTTTCAAGAACCAGCTCTTTGGCGGGTCTCAGCAGCTCTGGCAGCAGGAGGAGCAGCCCCAGTCGAACAGTGAAGGCTCCTGAGCTCCTCAGCCATCCACCAGCAAGATGCCCAAGAGAAAGGTCAGCTCGGCTGAAGGGGCAGCAGAGGAATCTAAGACATTAGCTAGGTTGTCAGCCAAAGCTGCCCCTGCAGAAGTGGAAAGGAAGCCAGAAAGGGAGGTGAGGAGCCTGGGAACCAGCGCCATGCGTAGGCCGCCACCAGCCTGGGAACAGCCAGCCCTTCCAGCACTTGGGCTGGCAAACAAGAACTACCAACCTGCTCACCCCACCATAAGCAACCGGCTTATCTGGAGAGACACAGGCTATGAAGGTAGCTACGGAGGTGAAGGGCAGCTGGATGCCTGTGGTGCTGTGGTATGTCACTGACACTGCAGGCCTAGGGCCAGGGTCTGACCACGGCTTCGGAGGATAGCGGTGCACAGTGGGCGGCATCTGGGGTGGGGTGGGGGGATCTCCTTCTGAGGGCTGCAGCCATTGTTGATTCCCTATGGCCTTGTTGAGGTCCTATATCATTTCCATTGTTTTTTTGGGTTGGGTCTCATTCTCTTTTGTTTTGTTTGTTAAATCCAATGGCAGGAGCAGCTATTTCAAAGATAGCAAGATACATTATAGCAGCAATTTTGGATTTACTATTGGCTTATTTTGGAGTCCTTTATTGCATTAATTGCTTGTTTTCGTTGTTTCTGTTCTGCTGTTTGATTTTTACTATGTCCAGTTATCTGCAGCTATTTTTTTTTTTTATCTGCAGCTATTTTGAAGACATCAAGAAGCATTGTTAACTACTGTTGATTTTGTAATGTTTTCAAGTCCTGTATCTCTCACCCTGGTTTGCTTTGATTGGTCCTTGTCTCCCTCCTTGTACAATCCAGAGTACTTTTTTGGAACCAGGTATTAAACTCACGACCCCATGCTTTCCAAGCAGGCACTCATGCCGCTGAGCTAAATCCCCGGCCCTGAGGAATATTTTTATCAACTATTTTGTAAACACAAGTTTTTAGTAGCTCTAGAAAGATTTTTAAAAAGGAAAGAATCCCACTTCATCACATTTTTTAACTGTAAATGACTTTTTAGAGGTGAAATCATTCGCTGGTTGTTTATTTTTTGGTACAACCAGAAAATAGTGGGGTATTGAATTGCAGCAGGCTTTGGCTGTTTAGGGTGTCAGCTTAACATGCCACGGATGGGGGTCAGTTTTATATCCTGCAACACAAAGCATACTAAATGGCAATTTGGCATCACAGTCATGCACTCGTATGTCCTGGATATTTTAAACAACTTCTATTCCCATGTGTTTTTAGTACTGTTTCCTAAAGGAAACTGCTTCCCGATGGTTGCCCCGTCAGAATCCTGTGCACTTCAAAACCCAAGCTTGTGAGGGTGCTTGAACCCAAAGCCGAAAGCTCCAGCGAGAATGGCTACAGGTGTCACGAGCACCACAGCGTAGGGAAGGTGGATGCTATTCCAGCAGAATGAAGCTGGGGGCACAGCCCTGCGCAATGGCTCCAGTCCTCCAGCAGGAACGCAGTGGCAAAGCCAGCTCCACATCCTCAGACAGGGCCCTCGAACACAGCACAGCCAAGACCCAAGAGGACTTCTCAGCTCATTAGAAAGGTTTATTGCTTCAAATGCATCCAGAACATGGGGCTCTGGTTCGGAAGGTTGTCACACATAGCAGGGGGCGGGACAGTCAGCCAGTCCTGTGGATTCAGCCCCACTCCCACCCCCTCCTGCACAGCCGCTGGTGGGGACCACTCCAGCATCAGCCACTAGGCCCTAAGTCTCTGCAGAGGGAGCAATGGCTTCCTCCTGCCCAGACACTGCGGCTCCACCCCTGCAGAGCCAGGTTTGGGGGAGCTGCCTGGGAACTGAAAGGACAAGGCACACGTGAGCTGGGGGTCCCAGACAAGCCTTCGGCCTGCAAAGTATATAAAAAGATAGCTGCCAATGTTTAAAACTTGTGAGATTTCATGTAAAAATCTGGATTTTGGCCTCTCCAGGGAGGGAAATGAGCCTCTGGCACACTGAAACTGTAACATTCCTCCATGGTCCCAGCTGCCCGCGTCCCCGCGCCCACAGGACTGGACTGCAGCTGTCTCGCATCAATGCACATGGCCTGATACAGCAATAGGGATCCTAGGGATCTATTATCTTTATGAGTAAGTAAAAGTGGAGGTCACACCTGGAAGGAAGCTGTTTCTACTGGTTCTAATTTCTCTTGGCCCTGCAGGCGCCTGAGTTTGTAAATGATCTTAAACAGCTCCAGCATTCTTAGGATAATTAGCGCCTGCAGGGAGCTTCACCACACACACCTGCCTCTCCAGCACACCCTGCCACACTGAGCAAGCAAACCTAGAGAGGAACGCAGTTAATCACGGAAATTAGTGGAGGCACAGACTACCTTTCAGCCTCCTGCAGCCCTTCAGCGCAGGAGGAGTCTGCAGAGAGGAGCAGTGTTAATACTGGCACTCAGCTGGGAAGTCAGTGATCACCAACACTTCGCAGTTCTGGAAGCCAAAGAAGTTAAGAGAGAAAGTCCCTGGGCGGGGGGAGGAGGGACAGGACCATCCCGGCAGAGCTGCCCCATGCGTCCTCCCCCCACCCCGGACCAGGGCTGCTGGCCCTGGCCGGAGACAGAAACGTAAGTGGCACAAGTGAGGCAGTGGACAGCCGTGCGGAGAGGAGCTGAGGGCCATATTTGGGCCCCTGCAAGCTCCAGGTGCCTTATTTGCCCTTCAGAGAGGCAGAGATCTTGACACAGGCCAGCCGCTTCTCGGTGCTGCTTGCGACGCCCTGGACACGGTAGTTCCCGCTGCTGAGCCAGCTGGGCAGCTCCAGGTCAGGCAGGGTGAAATTACTGCTGGGCAGGGAGTAGGTACCCTGTGGGGAGGAAGTGGTTACCTAGGTCAGGAGAAGCTGGAGACAGGATCTCATTCCTGGAGCCTCCCCTGGGACTGCAGCCATGAGCAACCCCTCCTCCCACCCTCCTGAAGGTCACAGGAGTACACAGCACCATGGCACCATACAATATTACAGCTAAAGGGTCCCTGAGGTCGCACCTAAGGTTATGTCTCCCATTTCACAGATGGGAAAACTGTGGTCTGCGGAAGAATGTAAGGACCCTGTCTCTAAGCCTCCTTGTCAGTCACAAGGGCAATGTTCCCCTTGCCCAAGGACTTACTTCTTTGAAGGGACAGTGGCAGGGAAGTCCTAAGGTATGCAGGGGCTCTGGGCAGGGCTCCCCAGGGGGAACGAAATTGTCCAGCACATTACAGAAGTCTTCATAGACACAGCTGCCGATCTGTTCTACACATGGGATCTTGATCCACAACCCTGCCACTTCACGCTCCAGAGTTACTTCCACCTGTGGGGAAAGATTGGCAAAAGTTACATATGTAAATTCCCCTGCCTCCTTACAGGGTCAGTATGAAGCCAGGCGTGGTGGCGCACCCCTGTGATCCCAGCACTTGGGAGGCTGAGGATCACTGCGAATTGGAGACTGGGTGAGCTCAAGGCCAGTCTGAACTGCATAGCAAGATCCTGTCTCAAAAAGACAAAAAATAAAATAAAAACCTTATTCTCCCTGCGGGCTGCGAGACTCAGGCTGGTTCCAGCTGCCTGGATATCAGGCTACAGGCTGCAGTGCACCAGGCCTGGGAGAACAGCAAGTCAACACCCCGTGCCCTGAGTGGGTGAGTTCAGTTCCCTCCTGCCAGCCTTGCTGACACAGCCGCCACCCATCCCACAGTGGAACCTCCACCAGCTCTGCCCTCCTGCCATGCGGCCCCAGGCCTCTGAGAAGGACAGCTGGGGGGCCAAGTGGAAAGGTCAGCTCTGCAATTTCCAGGCAGCATAACCTGGGGAGAGTCACCCCACTTCCCTCCATCTGCATGCCCCAGCTCCCCAAGTGGAGTGTGCTGCTGCCCCCCTCTTCCACAGCCTACTGCCCAGCACATGGCACGGGGCCTGGAATGCACGACGTCCCGAGCCCAGCCTGTGGCCCAGCTGACACCCCTCCTTCATTCCCCAGTACCCCAGAGAAAACGCATGAGCCAGTTACACCCACGAAGCAGAACTCCCAGTGCAGGGGTACGGGAGTCTACCAGAAAGAGGGCTGCCTCCTTCCTCACCGTCCTCAGCCCAGACCAGCACCGTGCAGGGCTCACAGCACGCAGGGGGTGCACAGTGGGTGTTTCTGCACTGAAGGCCACGGGCAGCTGGGACTACCTCGTGGGGAGGACCAAGCACAGCCCATGTCCTGCTCTCAGTCACCTCTCCAGCAGGGTCTCCGAGGAGCAAGCAGGACTCAGCAATAAGGAGCCAGCAAACTCTCCACTCTGGGACTTGTTCCGTGCTTCACAGCACTACGTAATTGGCTCCCAGCTCCTGCCAGGAGACAGCGACTCCACCCAGGGGCCCAGATCCCAGCCCAGGCCTCTGTTTCCCTGCCCTGACAGGGAGGTGTGCAGATCTCATGACAGCAGGAAGACCTACCATCACGGCAGCCTAGGAACACAAGTTTCCTGCAGGTTGGAAAATGATGGCTTTTCCTTTTCCTGGTGCCGTCACAGAGCCAGGCACACAGAAGGCTCGAGATACAGATCCGTTGCCTTATATCGCTGTCATATGATGTTTTTCATTCTTGTGGAAGATATCCAGAAGGGGAAAGGAGGACCTCTAGTCCTGGTTTGTTGGGGAATCTCCACACTGATTTCCACGGTGGCTGCACCAGTCTGCACTACCACCAGCAGTGGAGAAGGGTTCCTGTTTCCCCACAGCCCCTCTGGCATTTGTTATTGGTTTGATCTTTTTTTTTTTTTTTTTTTTTTTTTTTTTTGTCTTTTTCATTTTTATTGGTACCGGGGATCAAACTCACGACCGCTTGCTTGCAAGGCAGGTGCTTATGCCACTCAGCTAAATCCCCAGCCCCTACTGGTTTGATCTTTAGATAACAGCCATTCTTTCTGGGGTGAGGTGGAATCTCAGCCTTGTTTTAATCTGCATCTCTCGAATGACCATTGACGTGATCCTCCTCACACTGCTTTTAAAACCTTCTTTTGCTTCCATCTCCTTGAGTACATCAGTTACTGTGGTTTGTGTGTTCCCACTGCAGGGCTCTCTGCATCCCTAATACGCTAATTAGTCTTCGGAGCCCCTTTCTCTGCATGTAATTTAGGTTGAAAATATTCACAAATCACATATCTGACACAGGACTTATAGCCAGGGTGCATTTTAAAACTCTAATTCAGTAATAAAAAGAAATAAAAGGGGAGCCTTTGAATTGACCCAGTGTGCTGGAGCCCCAGGCTGCAGCTCTAGCAGACACGGAGATGGGTGCCCGCCAGCCCCGGAAGCCCAGTGCGCGTGCGCTAAAGCCCCAGCACTCCGACAACTTCCGGGTGCACAGGAGCCGGAAGCTGCAGCGAGCTAAAAGGTAAGGGGCATCCCGCCCCACCTGTGGCTCTGGGGTCTGGGGATTACAACATTGGGGCTCTGGGATCACAACAGCCGCTTCTGACGAAGGAAACCCCCCTTCACAGGTGGGAAGGGACCTGACGGGTGGGCGACCTGCACAGCTGAGGGCCCGAAGGCGCCGACCCTGCAGTGCTGGGCAGCAGCGGGGAGTGCTCCCCCCGCACCAGCCACCACAGGGGCTGGCGTCCTGCAGGGGTGCCCAGAGGAGACAAGAACTGACCTCCAAACACACACAAACTAGAAACGTGCAGGGAGGGCCCGGGAGGATCTGGGCCGACTGGTACGAGGCTCAAGGGACAGCAAAGACAACACTGGGCCCAAATGGAGGGCAGGTGATAACACAGCAGCAAAGGGGCAGGGGTAAAATCCACTGCAGAGGCCACGAGGCAGCCAGGAGAAGCGGGCTGGGGCAGCGGCGGGGGGGCTCTTCCTGCTTCCACGCTGGCCTTGGGATTGGATCTCCCCAAAACCTGCCAGCCAGTCAGCCCCGGGTCACAGAGCACCCACTTGACCCTCTATGCTGGCTAACAGCTAAAAAACCCTGCAGACGGGCTGGGGATTTAGCTCAGCAGCATAAGCACCTGCCTTGCAAGCAGGCAGTCATGAGTTCGATTCCCGGTACCGTACCGATAAAAAAGAAAAAGACAAAAAAAAAAAAAAAAAAAACCCTGCAGTCACCCAGCCCGGAGAGGCCTGGAGGAAGACAGGGAAGCAGGAGGCTAGCACTGGGACAGGACCTGCATTTGGGTCAAAGGGGCTGCAGGACACGATTGATGCCACTCAGAACGCTGGCAAGGACTGGCAGGCACGGTGCAGGTCCTGTGTGCCAGGCCCACTCGGGGCACTTCCCAACCACTGATTAACTCAGGAGCATTCAGCAGGCCCAGGAGGTAGGGGCTGGGCTGTGCCAAGTGTACAGGGACACAGACTGCAAATCAGAACTCTTTACCATAATTAAGAAAAGAGGTTCCAGAGTAATGGGGTGGGGAGCAGCCTGCAGGGCATGTAAGAACATTCCAGAAATGTGGGATCCTAACTAGAGTGTAAGGGCTGCAAAGAGCAATGTTGCGGTGGATGTATTAAAAGCCCTTACTGTCCTGCAAAGGAAAGGTAGCAGACTAAAGCTAGTGATTCCCAAGTAAATACAAAAGGCTAAACTCACAAAGACACTTACATTCCCTGGGACGGCACAAGCGACTGGCAAAGGTTTTTAGAACATGCTTGCAGTAGACAGTGTGTGGGAAAACAGAAAATCCACTGTGGTTAGGAGGTCAGTTGCCTAGAACCCTGGGAGGCACCTTGCCATGTGTCTCAAGGTGCACAAGGGCGGGGCCCTTAGCTCAGTGGTAGAGCACTGGTCTGGCATGCACAAGGCCCTGGGTTTGCTCTCCAGCAGCACAAAACCTAAGACAAACAAAAAGACCTAAAAAATCTGTGTCCAAATAATCAGAAAAAAACATAAAAAGATGTATACTAAGGGTAATTTCTACAAAAAACCCCTCCCTAAACCAAAAATATAAGCAAACAAAAACTACCCTGGAAACAAACAAAATGTCCAGCATCGACTTGTTATATAAAATATCAAAGATTTACAACATGATATTTCTGCCCTTAAAAATTATTAGGTGGTTCTGTGCCAAGCGCCATGGAAACAGGTACAGAATATCAAGTATTATACTAAATAAAAAATAAAATGCAAGTTTAATAGCAGATGTCACATGACCCCATTAACGTAGGAACATATACTACATTTACAAGCATGTAAAAATTCTGACAGGTTAAATATCAAGGAGACCCTTTCAGAGAAGCCTATGGGAGAGCCTTTCTAAGAAGCATTGTTTCCTTTCATATACAGCTATTAAAATAAGCACATGCAGTCTGGGTGACAGCGTATGAGGGAAAGCTGCAGAGAATGGCCTGTAAGGTGTTTTGCCAGGGTTCCGATCAGTAGCACAAGCACCTGCCCGGCAAGTGTGAGGTTGTGAGTTCGATCACCAGTACCCACAAAAAAAAAAAAAAAAAAAAAGTGCCTGATTCACATCACTAGGCAGTGAGATTTCAGGAGATTTATTTCCTTCCCCTGTGTTTTCTACAATGACTATATCACTGGTTGATTGATACTTCTATTTCATAACAAACAGTTACCAACCAGAGTAGGCCACCCTATCTTAAGAGACTGAGGTTGGGTGTGGTGGGCTGTGATCCCAGCACTCAGTCCTTCATGTCCCCATGGGGAAGCTGCTGGGCTGACATCAGGAATTCCTTTAATCCTGTGATCCTGTCGTTTTCTGAACCTGAACGGGTCTCTGCATCTACCCAACCTGCATTGCCAGGAAACCTTAGGATCCCAACTCCTTCTGGGTCCCCACACCAGCTCCCCTCCTTACCTTCAGAGGAGAGCTGAGGGACACGCTGGTCCTGCCCTCTGCGCTGATGGTCACATTCCCAGGGATGACAATGGGGTCGGGTTCCACAGCCAGCGATTTAAGCACCGCCGGGTCCTTCCCTTCGTCACAGTTATCCCAGGAAAAACTGCCAAGCCGGGAAGGCTGGGGTCAAGGAAAGAGAACAAAACAAAGTTTCACAAAAGGAGCGGCTCAGGTCAAAAGAATCAACAACAGAGCGGAGTACTGGCGGAGTCTCCCGACCCCTCTGCAACTCTGCACCTCATAGCTGAGACCACACCTGTGCTGCCCATTTTATAGGCAGGGCTGCACTAAAAGACATCACATCTGGGGAGGGGGCACGAGCCGTGAAGCATCATAGCCTGAACACCAGCAGGAGGGCCTGAGCTCAGCCATCCTCGGGGAGCCATCCCTGATCTACCCAGCCCTCTCCAGCCAGCCTGGGGTCCCACGAGGACCAGCTCCCGGGAACCACCCTTCATGGCCACGTGCATGGCGCCCAACACGCACAGAGATCTCCAGCCGGGTCTCTCATATTCCCATCCCATCAGGCATGCCATGGCTCCCACACCTTCCTGAGGCCCTCAAGCCCATCACCAGGACCTCACTATCTTTAACACAAAACTCCCCAACCACTCACCCTCTTCCAGCCCCCCAAAATGGCCAGTGCTCCCACCACCCACACAGTCTTAGAAAAGATGTCAGACCACACCCCAAGCTGAGCAGCAGCTTCACCACACCAAAGGCAACCAGGAGAGAAACCCAGTTCGGTCCCAACCCCTGATCCCCATAAAAAGGAAGAGGAGGAGCAAAAGACAGGCTGACCGTCTCTCTCCCTGGGGTTGGGATTAAGACACCAGAGGCTGCATCGCCTCACACGTGGGGCTCAGTGCCACTGCAAGTCCTAAGTTTTGGGATAAGGACTGGGGCTGGGATTTAGCTCAGCGGCATAAGCGCCTGCCTTGTAAGCAGGCAGTTGTGAGTTCAATCCCTGGTACCGATAAAAACGAAAAAGACAAAAAAAAAAACTCTTAGCACCTGCCTGGGATAAGAACTGAGGGCTCTACCATGTGATAGACGTGGCAGCAGGCGGGGTCACATGCCGTGGGGACCCTGGAGTCCACACGGTAGCGGTGAAGGGCGTGGCTTTGGGTTGGCATCAGTTCAGCCACATTTGCCACACGATTCTAGACGTCAGTGACCCATTCGGAGCCTCCACGTCCACATCTTTTCTTTTTTCTTTTGATAAAAGCTCTAACTATGCAGTTCAGGCTGGCTTTCAACTCAACACCAGTATGAAGTCCGGGCTGTCCTCAAACTCACTGCAGTCCTCCTGCCTCAGCCTCCTAAGTGCTGGGATTATACATGGAGGCCACCACACCACATCTTTTTTTTTTTTTCAGTGCTGGAGTTGAAACCCACAGCTTCACCTATGCTGGCCAAATGCTCTACCACTGAGCTGCATTCCTAGCCAGCATAACTTTTTCTTTTTTTTGGTACTGGGGATCGAATCCTGGAGCGCTCTTTGCCTGAGCCATATCCTCAGCCCTACGTATTTACTTACTTTTGAGATGCAGTCTCACTAAGCTGCCCAGGTGAAATTCAAACTTGTGATCCTCCTGCTGGAAGTACAGATGTGTGCTCCTCACCTGCTCATGACATCTTTTTAGTGGGGGCATCTCTGCCTTCCTCTCTGAGCTGTCACAAGACTGAGAACGCATCTGTAAAAGCTCGAAAGACTGCACCAGGCACAGACCGCCAGCTGGCTCAGGAAGTGACAGCCAGGAACGGTCCCAGCCTCCATTTCCAGCTATTGATTTCAGGGTTCCCTGTACACCAGTTAAACTTCCCTTTACTGGAGCTGTCGTCAGGATGGGTTTCTAGTCCTTGGAATGGAAGGTTGCACCGTGACTAAGATTAAGGCAGGCTGGGTAGGAACCAGCAGATATTTCCTTCAACATTCATTCTGCAAATATTTACAGAGCGACAATTACAGGCATTATGGGATGTGTCAAGGCAAGCCATTAGACACTGTTCCTACCCTGCCTCCTGCAGCTTACAGTCAGGTGTAGATAAACATCACCCTGGGCCCTGAGTGCCACTGGAAGTGACAAAAGACTGGAGAGTCAAGAAAGACTTTTCAGCAGGACAAGATGAGGAGTCACACCTGCGAGGCACTCTGCAGGCCTTCCAGGAAGACTGATGGGCTAGGGGTGCTAGACCAGGGACCCAGCAGAGGCTGGAGGGGCTGGGGGACCGCACGGGTCACAGTCAGGAGGCAGTGGGACCCTGTGAAGATCCACAGCTGTGGACAAGGTGAAAGAGAGCCGGGAGAAGGCCTAGAGTTTGGAGCAGGCTGCGGGATGGACAGAATGGGCGGTTTCCTCGAGGCTGCCTTCCCCAGTGCCAAAGTCACCTGACACACACTGAGCAGACCCAGGCCAAGGGGTGTTCCCAGCATGCCCAGTCCGGAGCCCCCATCAATCCACCACCAAGCACCCTTCCCTCAAGGCCCTAGGGAGACGGATGAGGTGGCACCCAGCAGTAGTGCCCAGCTGGCCGCCTCTGTAGTAAAGGGTTCTGCAGCTGAGTCCAGGCTGCTGGGAAAAGAGACACAATGGCTTGGCAGAACCCACAAAGGGCCAGGCCCGGAACCAGGTATCTCCCTTGCCAGACTATACCAACACATGGGAAAAGAGACTCATGGCAGAGGGCAAAGGCATGACTCTAGGGACAGATCCACGGTACGGTCAGACTTGGCCGCTCTCACTCGTTGAGGTACTATAAATTAACCCCTTGAGACTCAATGTCCTCCTCTATTAAATGGGCACAATTATATCTTCTCACATGGAGAGTCTGACAGCAAGAAGCCTGACTGCAGGGCTCAACTCCTCACGGAGCGCTGTCAAACTCCTGAAACATGGGGAAGACTGAAAACCATCACAGGTCAGATGAGCTCAGGGAGAAGGGGCAGCAGGGGCAGCACAGTATCCCAGGACAGAAAGAGGGCATTCATGGAAAACCACGGGAACTCAAGTAGTCTGGAGTTCCGTTCACAGGAAAGCACCTTTGTTGGTTTCTTAGGCATATACTGAACTTGACACTATCTATCTTTGTAAATCTAAAGTTGTTCCATAACTGATTTAGGAAAACTAAGGTAAGGTTCACCGCATAGCCTGCAGGGCGTGACCAATAAGAGGCAGCCACCATACAACATGGAAGACTGTCACCCCTAGAATACGCCAGCCAGTCACCGGGCTAACCATTCTGTTACTTGACAGTCATCAAAACCCACAATCACAAGACGGTCAGTACTGGACGAGGAACTAGAATTCAGAGTTCTGGAGGCCAAACCACACCTCACGTATCACCCCAGAGCTTGGCTGGCGATCGCGGGGTCAGAAGGAAGAGCAAATAGGGATCCGTCCCGGTGCGCTGGCTCCAGGCTCTCCGGTGAGGCCGAGGCACACGGGAGAAGGGGTCTCCGCAGGGCGCGCGCGTGCGGCCTCTGGCCAGACTCACTACATCACAGGAACCCCGAGTTTGCAGTTCCAAACGACAGTCGAAGACCAGATCCCTGCTACCGGGTAGGCGGGAACCGGTCCCTGATGCTCCACGCAGCAGATCACTAAGAATTCTGCCTCTGAGCAGCGTGCGCCCCACCTCACTGGCTCGCTTCACTTCACCGGGTGGAGAGAGCTTTCTCAGGCCGCTTCCCCAGCAGGAGGGATCGGAGGCCAGAAAGCCCTGGTCTCGTCCTGCCCGCTGTCCCCTCATGCACACAGCCTCGCAGGCAGGCGACAGACTCCGTCCCCGGGGTGTGCGGCACAGGCCGGAGGAGAAGCCAAGAGGAAGCTGACGGGGGGCCGAGGGCACAGGGCCAAAGCTGGCGCTGCCCCCCGGCAGGGCTGGGCCCACCCGCCCGGACAAGCCCCGGGGAGGCTGCAGGCCTCGGCCCAGGCAATGGGAAGTGGTAGGGGTGTCGGGAAACGCGCCCGGTTCTCCGGGCACGAAGGGCTTCGCACCAGGCAGCGAGACCCGCCCTCCCCACGGCACCCAACGGACGGCGGCCCTAGGTAGCTCCGCGGGGGGCCCACGCGAGCGAACGGCGCGACCGCACCCGCGCTCATCCCCGGACCCGACCTGCGCCCCCGATCCCGATCCAGGCCCCCCCCCGATCCTGACCCGCAACCCCCGATCCCGATCCAGGCCCCCCGATCCTGACCCGCACCCCCGATCCCGATCCAGGCCCCCCGATCCTGACCCGCACCCCCGATCCCGATCCAGGCCCCCCGATCCTGACCCGCACCCCCGATCCCGATCCAGGCCCCCGATCCTGACCCGCACCCCCCGATCCCGATCCGCGCCCGCGCCCGGGCTGCACTCACGCGGCTCACGCTGATGCGCGCAGGGTCCGCGCGGCCGCAGAAAAGCAGGCCGACGACGAGCAGGGGCAGGGGCAGAAACCACTGGGCGCGCATGGCGGAGCGAGACGGCGAGACTGCGCGGCGGGCGCCTTAAATGTGTGAGGAAGCCGAGCGGAGGAGGGAACGCGCGGAACAGACCCAGCCCATTATGAGGGGCGGGGCGGATCCGGAGCCGGGCTCGGCGCTTGGAGGCGGAGCTCGGCGGGTGGGCGGGGCGGAGCTGAGCGCTAGGAGGTGGGAAGGGTGTTGCAAGGCTGAGCGCAGGGGGCGGGGCTAAGCGTGAAGGGGCGGGGCTGGGTGGGGCGGGGCGGAGCTGAGCGCAGAGTGCGGGGCTGGCCGCGGGAATAGGGGGTGGGGTGGGGGTGGGGTGGGGGTGGGGTGGGGGTGGGGGTGGGGGAGACGGGGAGCACGGTTGCGCACAGCGTTGCCGGTTTTAGCACATTCAGATTCTTCTTGAATAACATTTCATGCTTCCTGCCACTGTTTCTTCCCAATATCCGTGTTGCCAATCGCTGTGTCCGAGGAACGTGATCCTTATGAGCCACAAATGTGCATGAAAAATGGGAAAGGCGCCCAAGGGAGGTCAAGGGGAGGGACAAAAAAGGGCTGAGATGCGCTGGTGTCACGTCCCTGCACTAGGAATTGTGTGCTGCAGTCATGTGCGAATGAAATTACACGCGTGATGTCACCTGCTACAAAGTCGAAAAGACTCCCAAGTGGCAAACATCAAGTATAGCCACGCTGCTCACCACCAACAAACGCAGTCAGTAAATGAAATCGCTGCCTTTTATTATAATTACTGCAATAACTAACACTTTGACGCTTTATGGCAAGCTGAGGACTTTACCAGAAAAGCTGGGGTTTTGGTGATCTTTGCCCCCTATTTTAGCGCTGAGGATACTCTGCAAGGGTTGACTTTGACAAAGTCACACGGAGGTCACAGAGCATAGTGAAGATTTGGCTAGGTGTTTATGTTACTTAATGTTTGCATTAAAGATGGTGAAGGAGAAGGAGAAGATAGAAATATTTCCACCAAATTACCACTAGATTGTAACTGCACAAGAGATGGGACCATACTTACAGTCACTAAAGAGACTAAAATCCAGTGTCCTCTTTTTCAGATAAACTTTCTATTTTGGGATTAATTTTGGATTTATAGAAAAGTTGCAAAATACTTCAGAAGCCTCTTCCAACATCCCAACCGTTAGCATTAAACTATCATGGTGATAAAGGAGGCTGTAACTAACCTAACCCTCACCTGTTAGATGAGAGGTGTGCCAAGTTGCTGGTCTCACATTGCAGAATAAAACACACACACACACACACACACACACACACACACACTCGAAGGATAAAATCATAACCCAAAGGAGAAAGTTAGGAGCATTATATGGGAAATGAAATGAAGAACAGCTCCTGGGTTTCCAGGAGGGTCGGGAGTGGGCAGCCCCCGCAACTCAAAGGAATTCTTGGGAAAGCAAGGAGGAGCAGGCATCTGGCCCCCACCCGCTCGCCTGATGCCTGGCTGGGCCCGGGGGCCAGGTGCTGCTAATCACAGCAAACCCTAAACGGCTGTTTATCTCCTGGTAGGCCTGCAGGCCTGGCTGATGCTACTCCCGGAGGCCAGGCTCTCTTGAGCTGTGCCTCAGACCACTAGCTCCCATGTCTGTCTTTTTGAGTTGCCTTCCCTTGACAGCCCAGTCCCTCTCTGATGCACATTAACGTCTAATTTAGCTGCCTATAATGGTCCTTCTCTGCTACCCATTAACCTGAGGTTGGAGTAGGCTCCAGGCTCTTCCTCCTGAGCCTCTGGTTAGGAAGGCTCCCCTCTCCCAGCTCCAAACCTCTCCCCATGTCCAAGTGCAGATTCAGAACAGAGAGGAGGACTTCCCCAATGTTCCCCAGATGAATAATCCGAAACTAGAAGTCACCATCTGCAGCTGACCCCACGCTGAAGAAGAAGAGCTGCTAGGTGGACATGGGGGGAGGTGGCAGCACTGTAACCCCACTAGTCCTCTGGGGGGGCACTGGAAATAGTCACCAACTCCCTGCCAGGGTGGCCCCTTTGCCTTGGGAGCTGCCAGACCCCCCAACCCCGTGCCACCCACTTCCTCCTGCATACTAGATATTCTGTTCTCTTGGCTTCAGGTGCAGTCCACCATCGAAGGCAGAAAAAGGCTAATTTTCCCGGAGGAATTCACATTCTGGGGGAAATGTTTTAGAAAACTGGAAATCATTGTCACTTCACCATCAGTGACAATGAGCTTCCTGGGGGAGAGACTAGGGCATCACCCAGCAGCTGCACTGGAGAAGTGGGCATGTGTCTAAAGGCTAACGTGTGTGTGTGTGTGTGTGTGTGTGTGTGTGTGTGTGTGTGCGTGCGCACATGTGTGTGTGTGTGTGTGTGTCCTGATTGTGAAGCATGATGACCATTACAGGTGCATACCTGTAATCTCAGCACCCAGAGGCTTTGAGGCAGCAGGATCACCAGGAGTTCACAGCCAGTCTGGGCCACATAGTGAGCTCAAGGCCAGACTGAATCACATAGCAACACTGTCCCAAAAAACAAAAACCAAATAAAATTTGTATAAGCAAGCAAGGTATATAGAGGTCAGACACAGAGGTCACAGAGAAAAAGTACAAACCTCAAACATGATTTGTCTGCATGGTTAATTCTAAGACATCTTTACATAGTGTCTAAGACAAAACTTTATAAATCTTTGGTATAGAATTCTAGCTTGGCCTAAAGGATCCCTGGGGAGCCCTCCCCCCACAGAGCTGAGGTGTCCCATGGTGGGAGGTGGTACTCCGGCCCTCAAAGCTTATCTCCCATTCTCATTATCACCTGGTTTACAAGTCTCAATCACAACTTTTTTTAGGATGTCTGGTTTTAAATCTTGACTATTGCCATTATTAAAAGATAGCTTTCAGAAAGAAAATAAAAATCCACATCTCTCACGCATATATAAAAGGCACAGGTAGGTAGTCAAGATTTTATTTTGCTCATTCAGTGAGGGCGCCTAGAAGATGCTGCAATCATGGGCTGGGGATTTAGCGATTGCCTAGTAAGCGTGAGGTCGTGAGTTCAATCCCCAGTACAAAACAAAAAGAGAGATGTTGCAATCAGTTTGAGGAAGATCCAAAGAACAAACACATTTCTAGGCCAGGAATAATTAAATGCCATCAACCGAAGAGCTGGGCATGGTGGCTCACGCCTATAATCCGGTACTGTGGCCAGCTAAGTGGGCTGTAAGTATCGCAGGCAGTTAGAAGAGCCGTGGCTGCATACGTTCATGGAGGCCAGGCTTCAGGAGGACAGGAGACACCCACATTCTTCCCTTGGGGATGGACGGCTGTGACTGATATTCTCAATCACCTGGGGCGGAACCGAAACCTCCCTAACCCATTGCTTCCCGGAAGTCCCTAATCCGTCCGCGTGCCGTGTAATTTGCTTCCCCCTGGGTGCCCATTTAATCAATATTCCCTAAGCCGCTGTCCACTTTCCAGGTCCCCTCCCATCCCTCTTAGCACCTCTGTTTCAATAAACTCTTTTTACTCTTAACCTCCGCTGATGCTAGAATTCCTTCTTTGACTGTAGAGAACATGAACTTGCTCGGTGTTGGATGTCCAGCAGGTTGGGATTATATTTCCCTTATATTTGCAGGTCCACAAATCATCCCTGTATCGTAAACCCTATAGCACCAGCTCTCGGAAGGCTGAGGCAGGAGGATTGCTGCAAGTTCAAGGCCAGCGTGAGTTATGAAATCTATAGCAAGACCCTGTTTCCAAAAACTTTAAGATAATGAATAAACCTGAAAACAAAACTGGCTGCTTCCATAGCAGGAGAAGAAGGACGATTTATACCCCAAGGGGCCCAACTGTGTGTGTACATCAAAGATTATCACTGATGAGAGTATCCAGAGCCAGAAGACCTGAGGAAAAATAGATGGCACCTTAAATAGACAGAAGAGAAATAGGGAAGCCGAGAAGGCTCAGAGTGAGACGGAGAGGACCAGACTGATCACCCGAGAAGGAAAAGGGCCAGCGGTCTTCCGGGTGCCGCGGGGGGCTGGGGCCTTGGTTTTGTCATCCTGGGAGACTCGGTTCCCTCAGGGGCTCTGCCCCTGCTTGGGGGCGGGAGGGGGCTCCCTGCGGATCCCCACGGAGGAATTGCTCCCGCTGGGGAGGTGTCCTCGCAGAGGGGTGGCCTGTGAGGCTGCAGTTTCCCTGGGATACGAGGTGACCGCGGTTTGTGGGGAGGCCATGTGGGTCAGCAGCCCCTGGCTTCTGCCTGTCTCTTCTGAGGGACCAGTCCCAGGTGTTGGGAGCTCAGCAGTGTCTAAGAGAAACGGGATAACCCGGGACTCCCACAGACGGTGGGCTGGGGCCCAGGCTATGGCAGCTTGGTCTCTTCCAAGCCCTGGGGCCTGAATTCCAAAAACGGGGGAAGCTAGAGAAAGGACCTACATTCTGTCACCAGTACCGCCATCGGCCGTTGCAGTTTATTTGCAAGCATTCTAGCACTGCGCTCATTCACGCTTGCAACAAACCTTGCGCCTGGGTCCCGGCTCGGCTCGGGGACTCAGAGCCCGCCGCCCTCTGGGCGCACCCGCTCCGGGCGCACCGCCTCCGGTGACCTCACGGCCCAAGGCCACCGGGCGGGGGCACCAGACGCTGCGGCCACGTGTACTACGCGAGTTCAGCCAGCAGGGGGCAGCCGCCCACCACATGGATTCCCTGTGGCCGGGAGCCCGGGCCCAGCGTTCAGAGCTGCAAAGAACCCGCAGAGAGGAAGGGGCTTAGTTTACTCCGAGTTGTATGCGTGCGCGAGTGTGTTTCACGGGGCAGTGAATCGAGGGCCTTCCCACTAAGCTAAATCTCCAACTCCCCTTTATTTTTTTTTTCTACTTTGAGACTGGATCTGGCTAAATCGCCCAAGCAAGATTGTAACTTACGATCTTCCTGCCTCAGCCTCCCGGAATGCTGCCATTACCAGCCTGCACCACCACACTCGGTTTAATTAACTTTTTTTTTAATGAGATAGGGTCTCGCTCTGTAGTTCAAGCTGGCCTTAAATTCACAGTGGAACCTAGCCTGCCCCAGCCTCCCGAGTGCCTGGATTACAGGCCTGTGCCACCCTTACCCAGGT